TCAGAACTTGCTTGTGACTTTTTCATCAAGGTGCTTCCCAAGTGGGTTCTTGACCACTCGATCTTGTGGGAAGAGTTTATGATTTTGGATCCAGACACAAATCTCCCAGCCTACAAGACTTCAGAGGCCGCCTTACAAGCAGAAAGGAATCCAGAGAAGTATCATACACATTTTGCTATGAACTTCAAGAAATTCCGTTTTTCTGCAAGGATTGTGTGGTATTTGATTGACCGTGACAGGAATCATTTAGAGAGTTTTCTTCACAACTCCAACAGTAGATTTGTGCAACATGCATGCTATCAACTTCGTGAATATGTTCAGGCGCGTGTTGCAGTTTCTGATCCCTTGTATGAGATGATCAAGAAGGAAGAGTTTGAACGCCAATACAATTCCAAGTTTTTGGAGGCGATTTCTTGCTCTCGTGTTGTAGTTGAGCCTGTAAGTTCAGGGACGTATGAGCCATCATCGAAGCTGAACTTAAAGGTACTACAAGACATCCTGAAGGGTATCTTCAAGATCCAGAAGGATGAGGAGCTTGCCAAAGAACGTGATGAAGAAGAAGAACAGGCAGCTCAAAACATCTCATACCTGTTGGCAGATGATATGGAGCTTGATTTTGATGATGATGATGTTCCAGTATGGCGCTCCATTGTCGACAAGTATAGAGGAGGTGATCAGGTGCTACAGGGAGAAGCTGTGAAGATTACTCACCTGTTCAGGGATCAAAAGGACAATGAGAAGGCGACAGAAGCTTTCAGTTCAGAGAGGACAGATTTTTATGAGACCTCAGGACCTCTTCCAAGAACCGAGGGAGAAAATCTTGTAGAGGACTTGCTCACCAAGGATGTTGCAGAACAAGCTTTTGAAGCAGGTGAAGAAGTTCCTCCTTATACAAGAGTCTCCACTATCGCTGGTGAAGTCTATACTGGAAGTAGAACACTTCTAGAAGATGAGAATATGGAAGAGGAAGTTCCTGAAGAAGATCCTGCAGTTGAACCTGGAAAGGAAGAAGAAATATTTGATGAGAATGCAGGTGTTTTTCCTTCAGAGGAACCAAAGATGGAAGTGGACCAGGAGGAAGCCAAGGAAGAGTCAACACCACACTTTCTGTCAAGAGAGATAGGTGAGGACTCGACTGCATCGTACTTACCATCAGGTGAGATGGATGCTAACCTTGATGATACTTCAGGTCAGCGGAAATCTAAGAAAAGCCGCCTGAATAAGATTCCTGATCCTCATTTTCATGAAGAAGTTCAGGATGATGCAACTATGGAAGAGAAGAAAGAGGCGGTGGAGAAAATAAAAGAGGTCAGAGAGGATGATGGAGAGAAGAAATTGGAGGCTGAAATCCAAGAATCTTTTCCATCTGAAGTAGTTGTTGAAAAAGATACAACAAAAGTTGACAATACCTATGAGTTGCATACTTCACCTTTGAAGTTGCTTGGAGAGCTTACAGGAGATCCAGGTATTGGCTTTTATCAACTATGCTTCAGGGAAACTCATGCAAGATTGCTGAATCATGTTTGTTTCAGAAAAGGTGAGATTTCCCATCCTCATTATCAGTCGAGGATCAACGAGAATGATTTTGTTCGATCCATTCGTAATATCTGTCCAGTACCTCCACCTGATTGTTATGAACATGAACCAGAGCATGATTTGAAGAGATTCTTTATCAATGATGATCGCGTCATTTATTTGGATGGCAGGTATCAGGTCGATCCAAAGGCCCTTGAAAGGGCAGGTCATGCTCGAGAAGAATTGGAGGAGACGAAGAAGGAACTCAAGAATGAACTGGAATCATATGGTCCCAAGAGACCCAGTTGGGACTTTGTCACCTTCTATGAAGAGCTGTGCAGAAGGTTCCTCAAGGGAAGAATAGAAGAACCATATGGAACTAACTTATTGGCCAGCTCAGAGTCCTTGACATTTTTATCCTGGAACTATGGCAACATGGTTCGTGGTCAGAAGTACACCACACCAAGGTTTCTCCAAGGACTTGATAGTGCAATGAGGCCACGCAAACAGAGCGCCATGTCACTTCAGAATGAGCAATTTGAGAACAACCTTTTCTTCAACATGCTCTTCTTTTTACGTGCACATGTCGTGATTCTCCAGGAAGCTCATCTTCTTGTTCCTGCCAAGGAATTTATTGAGCAAAAGAATTGGACAGTTTGCTTCAATGATTGGGAGAATCTTGCAGTGATGGCTAGATTGGCACCAGGTGGATATGTCAAGATCATTGCTGGACATGACCAAGACCTTGGTCACTGTGAACAGCGTGATGTAACTTGGGCTATCTACGAGATTTGTTTTGGAGAAACAAGGCCTCGTCAAGATTTCAAGGATGCAGACTTTGAATTTGATGACTATGGTCCTGAGGACAAGCGTGTTCCACTTACTCGAGCGAACATGCATACCATCAGAGTCTGTAATTATCATGTTGATACACACCGTGCTGTGGATGCCCACCTACTGACAGGAGAACAAACAGCATTGATGCTTTACGAGTGTTTTGTCTATGAGGTGGACATCATTTCTGGTGATGCAAATAGTTTGGCCTACAGAATGTCTGGGTACAAAAGGCAGCCAATGGCTAACTATTATTATAGCACCATGCAGCATTGGATCCGCAGGTTTTCAGAAGCCCGTGTAAAAGCAGATCCTGGTATCAAAGCACCTATTCCCAGAACTTTTTACAGTTCAACTTCACAGGTCCTCAAGAAGTGTGAAGATTTCTTTGACAAACTCTGGGAAGAATATTCTACTGTTGAAAAAGAAGAATACCAAGGATCACAGCTTGGCGATACATGTTTGTCTACCATTGTTGAATGGGGTCATTCAATGAGTGAAGAGGAATATGAAAATTCCACAGTGAGCACGAAGGAGTTCACCTGTAATTTTTCAGAGAACTTTGCTATGATTGACACGGAGGTTATGTGCTCAAGGCCCACTGACGAGGACAGTCATGGTCCAATGTTTATTTCACTCAGACCAGCTTCCTTTTCATCTGGAGACAGAAGACAGTATCGCATGGGACCAACTCTTCATGAGGCGAACTTGCGGAGGAAGGAGAGACAGAAGCAGAATAAAAGGAAAGGAAGGCCGCCAACTTCTGATCAAGCAACTTCATCGTTTGCAGCGGCATAATTCCTGAGCGAAGGCTGAAATTTAAATGATGGCTAGGAAGTGAAGATACTTCTGGTTACAGTTGATACTTTGCTTCCAGGCTTGACTTTAAGTTGCCAGGCTGAAGTTTTAATAAATTCTGGTTTGCAATGAGGAGGAACTTTTTATCAAAGAAGATACTCCTGCATTCCAGGTTTATACGCTTTAGCATGTAGATAGGTATGGACAGTTTAGCATAACTGATGATATCTATCACAGCCGCTCTTATGAAGTGACCTCTAATGGACAACCAGTCATGGTTGATGATTAAGTCATTTCATGATTTGCAATTGTAGTGCAAGATTTTTTTGTACATACATTTGCCGGTATCTCCTTCTTGTGTTTTTGATGTGAATGTGAAAGAGAGTCCTTTTGATGCAGTTTTATTTTGTCTGTGAATGAAAGCGGTCGAGACCACGTCACGAGAAGATTGTTCCTCGAACCGTACGCTCCTTGCATTTTGCAAGGCATCTTAATTCATTGCAATTTGTGCGGTCTTGAATTTTTAGTTCTTTGTTACGCGAGTGTCGTTTGATTCTTTTATAGGTCTCTGTAGAGAAAAAGCCGCTTTCCCTTTTTAGTTTGATTTAGCTCAGGCCCTAAAGAGCTAGTGAGCGCCGGTACATGGTATCTCCGCCTGCGAAAAGTACAGTCTCCAGCCGAGGTACATTATCGCTTTGATTTTGTACTTGAGGTGAGTCAGCTATTGCTCCCTCACTGTATTTAGTAGCTATGAGATTACCTTCTCTGAAGTGTGAAACACACTGGATTAGGTAAGTACATGGCACCGTAGTTTTCTTTTAAGTTGTCAGAGCTAGCTGGACTGTTTTAGCCTTGCAGTAGAAAAAGAGTATGCGACATACGCAATCAGCTAGGAGTGGACATGAATCTTGTGCCTGCTGAAAAGTAGAGCCTACCTGTACAGGGTTCCACTCCAACAGCCGATATAGTGTGTCCATGCTTGACTGCTTCAAGGCTCAAGAGATATAGGATAAGACTCTGCGTGAGTAAAAGACACTAGCGGTCTGCACCTCTACCGTGTACGCCCTAGTCACTCTTTCACCCCCCACCCCCCCCTCCCCTCCTCCCCTCTCCCCTCTCCCCTCTCCCCTCTCCCCACTCCCCATCCCACCTCCCCTCTCCTCCTTGTCTTCCTCCCACCTTCCCTCCCTCCTCCCTCTTCTCAAGTTCGACTCCGTCCTGTCGTCGCTCTTTGGCATGCGGTTAGCGTTGCGTATCTTGCGGCCGCACTCGCACTCGCTCACTCTCACTGTCTCACTGTCTCACTGTCTCACTGTCTCACTGTCTCTCTCTCTCTCTCTCATCTCTCTCATCTCTCTCATCTCTCTCATCTCTCTCATCTCTCTCATCTCTCTCTCATCTCTCTCATCTCTCTCTTCTCTCTCTCCTCTCTGTCTCTCGTCTTTCCGTCTCTCTTCTCTCTCTTCTCTCGCAGGAGGATCCGGGCAAAGAGCCACATATAAAGGACTCTTCACCCCTGCCTCCAAAAAGAGCGCCGTGTTTTTTCCTACCTCGCTGCCCTCCACTTCCCCATTCTGGACCGCTAGCTTTCGCCCCCCCCCCTTGGCCTCAAGTTGAATCTCAAAATTTGGGACCGCGACTTTCAAAGCCAATGAGTGGTCTTTTCAACGCGCCGTTCAAAGAGGCAGACCGAAGGACTTAGGGATTGACCTCTCATGTGTCAGGCGATCTTGGCACACACAGTTTGCTTCGATTCCTCGAACATGTCTCACGATTTGGCCGGCAGACCCTCACTGGGCACTCTTGATGCACCAGCCCAAGCTGCTTGTGGCGTGTCTTCGCTGCAAGCCCAGGAGAACTGGATGGGCAGGAAGCGCTTTGAGCAGTGTGCTGGATATCTCGTACAGGCAGCGCGTGCGGCGTGCGCCAAACGGGTGACCGGTGGGGTGACCGGTGACCGAGTTGGACCTGGGGACCGGTTCGTCTAGTGACTCAGTGACCATGTCTATTGCCAGTCACCATGGGTTGAGGAGTTCATAGGTTGTGTGGCATTTGGTTTCATCAGATCTCATGCTCCTTCGAGAAAGGGGGGCCGAAGAGGTTACTTCGGTCACTAGGGGTTCAGAGGTGGTGCGGATCTACCAACCTTGCATGCATGAGGTATTCCTCCCGCAAAAATGCATTCTTTTGTAGAGAGTTTGATGTTTGTCTCGATCCTGTGTTGCGAAAAAGCTCCAACCACGGCCCATCCAACGAGCTGAGACTTGAAATTGGGGGGTATGGAAATGAAGCCCGGCCCCGAAAGGAAGACCTTTTTGTTCCTCTACCAACAGGCCATTTTCCACTTCGTTTCTTGCGTATGGTCGCCTTCCCCACCACCTCTTTTTGCCCCACCGACCTTTTTCTTTCGGTTTGCAGCTCCGCACAAGAACGACCGCATCCCGGTCCCACGGAACCGTGTCTGTGCCTTGGACCTGCAGGTGGATGTGGGGCTTTTGCGCCAGGAGCACGTGAGGCCCGAAGAGGTGCCGGCGGCGGTAAGGTGACCGGTGTAGGTGTTTTGGTGTTTGGGCGGCGGGAGTGCCAAAGGGCCTAAGGGCATGTGTCCATAAGTTCCATTCGGTTCCATTTCGTTTTTTTGCTTTGAAATTAAAGCACCCGTTTGTTTTGTCTTCTCTATCTTACGCGAGAACATCACGTGGCTGGTCCTTTCGGGGCCAATCGTGATAGTGATTGAGCCAGACACGTCGATCTGAAAAGAGGATCGACGTCGAATCGACATCGTTTGTGTTTCGGGGAACGCACCCAAATCCAGGTCCACTGCCAGAATTGGACGATGGATGGAAAAAAGTGGGTCTGATTGGAATTTGACATGGTGACCCTCCAAACAAGAGTGGGTAAAGATGGTAAAGAAAGTAAAGAACAGAACACCCAAAGGCCAAAAACCGTGAATCTCCCGATTCCCAGTCTATTCGTTCGGTTCTGGTGGTTTTGACCCGGAGGCACATGGACACGAAAGTGGATGCATGTGTTTGGCATGGATTTGCCTGGTGTAGGTGGGGGTTTGTTGATGGGCTCCCCAGCCAGAGGAGTCTGATTTGTGGTCTCATGTGGTCTCAAATCCTTATTTTTGTCATCCCTGTGCGAATTTCCTCTAAAGAATAGGACAACCCGGGTTGTCTTAAAGAATGAAATCAGTATGAAAAGCAGGGTGGAAAGGACCACTGTGAAGGTGGGGGTTGAAATTCTTTACAGGTGGGTAGGTGGACCCTGATTTATAGAGAAGAACTATGGATCAACATCTTTAAAGACACTTGGGCAGCCGATGGACAGAAAAAAGAGGAGCGTGCTTGAAGATACATCTCAAATGGCCAATTCGACTCGAGCCCGGGTGTACTGATTCTTTAGGTTTTTGAATTTTTTGAAGGTCAGTGTCTATTCTTTAAAGAAGCATGTTTTCCATTGATTCTTTAGGTTTTGTGGCTCCAAGGTTTGTGATTTTTTAGTTACCTCTGACTACCTGCCAGCCTGGGTTCCTAAAGAATAGGACAGCCCGGGTTCGAGGTCGAATTCGATGGGGGATTTTTTGTCGGTATTGGTTGGATTCAATCCCCACAACCATCCACAACCCCAACAGCGCAACAGCGATCCAATCATCGCCTGACCCCTCACTTCGGTGGGCTACGGTGACGGTTTGAGCGCTGTTCCGGAGCGCTTGAACGGTCGTCCCATCGATTCATGGGAGTGGGTACCGGAGCGCATGAGTCAAGTGGTTCACGGTGGTGAACGCGTATGCGGTCACTGTTGCCTTGCGCCAAAGGGTCATAAATTAAAATAAGGTGAGGATGTCTGAAAGTTTGAGACTGAGCGAACATCGTAAGCTTGTGCCCGCTGACCAGCGCCCAATACAAGCGAATAACATGTGTTCCGTGTTGCGACAGGAAGACCAGAGGTGCTGTCTGATGAATCCAAGCACTCTGCTCGTGGATGCAAAAACATGACGCTGGGCGGGGCAAGTGCTTCCGTGCTTTGCGTCATTCTTCCAAGATCTTCCAAGCTGCTTTGCAGTTGCCATAATCCACAGACCCGTGACCAGCAGACACCCCGTGACCCTCCATGGCCCGCAGACACTGCCGAACAAGCAGATCTCCAGCGACTACAAGTGTGGACCGCCACGGCGGATCAGCTTGCACAACAAGGAGCAATTGGTGAAGCTTCAGCTGTGCCTGGGAGGGAAGAGCGAAGAGGGAAGAGCTGGATGAAGGGTGAGTCCTGGACGCTGAACAGATGGCCTTGTCAAAGGTTATATAATATATAGATATATTATATATTATATATAGCTGGTTCGTGCAGGGACGTTGACGGGCTATGCCGGTCGCCGATCTCTTTTCATGATGTCATGACCTGGTAGGGTAGTTCTATACATGACCCAAATTCAATGGTAAAGGGGATCTACAGTATATTACAGTATGTTTGGGGTGCAATTTACGTTTTGAACGTGTCGGTGAAAATGCAGCACCCGTGGATGAGAAGAAAACAACACCGGCCAGGTAATTCACTTCCCAAAACAAATAAACATTGTGAAGCGCACAAAACTAATTGCACAAAGATGCTTTGGTGGGACGCAAAACTCTCAATTTGTTGACCAAATATTTATCCACGTACGTATCTCCGTATTTTTTTCCTACCTAGCCCACCATTGCTCAACCGGTGAGAGCCTCCGACCCTGGAACCTCAAACATGTATGTGTGTGTGTGGGTTTTTGATGCAAACAATGTTTGGGGGTTCAGGACATATTTTGGTGAATCATCCGCCCCCGCGTGCACACGCTGGATTGGACAACGGTGGTTTTCTTCGTCGGCCTAGTCCGCCCGACTCGCGAGGATCGTTCCGTTATGAGGCGACCGAAGGTCTTCAATTTCCTGGGTCTGGGCGAAGTCGCTGTTTGCCTGGTAGTATCTTGGACACAAGGGACCGGAGAAGCATTCACATGTGGACACCTCAGCCACTTCAGCGTTTGAGGCATTTTCAAAGCTTGGAACGCCGGCAAAGGGGCAGTATCGGTCTGGAATTTGAATTCTGGGAATTTCTGCCGGGATCTGAGCCCATCACAACTTTCTTTTGTAGTCTTTTGTCAGGTCTCGTTTGACCAAACCCTTTTAGCTGTCAAGGGAAACTCAGGGAAACCACCCCTTCTGGTTCCTGGTTATGTAGCAGCATTTAGCAAGCTTGGAACCTGAATTTGGAACATGGTGTGCGAAGAGTTTGTGAGGTTTCTTCCTAACATATTGGTTTCTTGATGGGTGCGACTTGGCCAGCTCGGCTGCCAGCGGCTTTCAATGGTGAACCGTGTTGGAAACATAAACCATTCATAACGATTCTTTGTTTTGGACCACCAAAATGGGTGAATACTTGGGGTTCCAAAACGATAGCAAAACGATCCTACAAGCAAGATTACATCCTCTTTCAAGAGTCCTTCCACAGTCCAGATTGATGTCAGCGGACATGAAACAAGTCCTGGGACCATGTGGGTGGCTGCCACCTTTTTTTCCCGTGATTATTACCGTGAAACCATGTGAAACCCAAACAAGTCCTGAAGTTGGGGCAGATGTGCGGCAGTCACAAGGAGATTTGTGAGGCCTGAACATCCATCGCAGCTCCTTTCGGCGGCCCCTTCAGGTAAGGAGATTCCTCTTTCCAAACGAAAGCTGATCAAGTGAACCTCCTTGGCAAATTGGCAAACGAAGATGGACAAGTCCATTCCTGGCGCCTGAGGTCATGGATCATTCCAAGATGTCGCACCAGCATTGGACCCTGGTGATTTGGCGTCGGCATAGCGCATGAGGATGGTATGCCTGCGTGATGTGTCCGGGGTGGCCCCGAGCCACAGGGTGGAAAAGAAAGGGTACCATGATGTGCACCATGCTGTGCAGAAGAGAAAAAAACCATGTTTCCTCAATGTAGGGCAAAACGAATATATACATGTCCCTTGACAACGGACCAGCAGTTTGGTGCTTGTCCTTTTCGGTTTGTCCCTTAGGGCCGTTTCCAGCGGCGTCGAAGCTCCTGGTTTTCAGGTGAACTACTCCTTGATCACTGTGATGGCCGAGAAGGAGGATGGGCACTCACCAGGTAGTTGTTTGCTTGATTCTTTGGTTGTTTGGTGTTGGGCCATACCGGGCTTTGGTTCTGGAGACTTGAGATTTGTACCTGGAAATTCCCGAGATTTCGCCGGACCGCCACACTCCACATACGCCCACTGAACTGGAGACCGTCTCGCAGTCGAACTGGGTCTGCTCCAAGTCGTTTGAGAGGGCGACAGCACTGTGCTGAGACAGCACCTGACCTCGAAGACTGGTCGGCAGGAGAAGGCGTGAGAACTTCCTGTCAGCTCCAAAGTTGAGCTCCTCGGAATGGGTCTGAAGATGCGGGGCGAGGGTTTCTCAACTTGAGGCGCTTGGAAGCGCCTGGCTCAGTCGACACATTTTCTCCCCGGATCGAAGGTTTCCAGGCTTTTCACCACAGGGACCAGGGGGACACCATGACGATGATGATGGCTCCACCCCTAACATTATGTAATTAGCACCCTTGATGACTGGATGACTCTGAGGATTTCCCCCTAAAACGCTTTCGCGGTGCTATGGAACATCATTTGCTGGGGTTCTGGTGGACCAGAGAACCAAATGAAGACTCATGAGATGATCCCAGTTTACTGGAAGAGATCCAAGAAGAGCTGGCAGCTGAGCTGTATGTATGTATGTAATGTAATGTAATGTAATGTAATGTAATGTAATGTAATGTAATGTAATGTA